ATATGTGATTCCTTTCTTTATGTATTAAAGGTAACAATAGCATCGGCTCTTGGGTTTATTGGAATACCTCAATTAGGTATTAATATATTCAATTATTAGATAATCATGTAGTATAATTCATTTTTTTAAGCATATATTTTTTTTATACAAATTACAGCTGACTATTGTGCAAGTAAATCTGCATTGATCGGTTTTCATGAAACACTACGTCGTGAACTGGACAGTCGGTAAACATTAATTATGGATTTTTATTAAATATATAATCACCTAATTGTTTCTGACAATAGAAATTGTTTTTTCAACCAGATATGATGCAAAAAATATTCGCACAACATTAGTTTGTCCTGGAGAAATCAAAACTGGAATGTTTGAAGGAGTAACTGTTAGATTACCTTTTTTCACACCCTCGATGCCTGCACTTGATGTAGTAAAGCCTATAATCACCGCTTTGGATAAAAATGAAGGACAGGATATCATTCTTCCATTTTATGTTAATGTTTTAACATTGTTGAGGTCCTTGCCGTCGTTTATCCAAGATCTTATTTATAAGGTTAATTTTATTTTTTGATTTTCGATTTGTTTAATCGTTTTTTTTTAATATGCTTTAATATCTTTTCTTTATTTAGTTAAATGCTGGTGATCGTTCAATGTTAACATGGAAAGGCAAATATAAGAATAAAGATCAATAAGATAAAAGAAATTTATTTCTGAGTTAGCATAAAATATTTAAATATCATGAAATTACATCAAATGTGAATAGATTTCGCAATTTAAAATTTAAATAAAAAAATTTTAATGTCAAAAGTTATATCATCATTTTAAAGTTGACGTGGAAAAGAAAAGTTGTAAGTAGGAATGGAATCATAATAGAGTTCGGAATCCACTTAGATTAGAATGGAATATTTATACTAAAATCCCAACCCTTAACCTTAAAAACTCCGAATCAACTTAAGTTCTATTCCCACTTACGACATAAATATGTCTTATTTTTCTCTGTACCCTGATTTTCGCTGTCATTGAATATGATGAGAGTTATCTAAATTGAAATCGAGAACTTAGGGTCAGTGTTATCGGTGTCATTCGGTTAAAAAACGGGGTTTCAATCTCCATTAATGTTTTTCTTTACATATTACTTAATTATTTGTATATTCCATGAATTTTCCATGAAATCACGTAACCTAGAGGGTACAGTATTCTAGAAACGTGATGGGTACTCAAAAGGTCCCAGAGCGGATAAACTATTGTTACCTAACCATCTGATCATAAAATTTTAATAATAGAGATTATTATTTGAAAAATTTTTTTGATGCTAAAAAAAAAAAACTTCCAAGTCTTATGTCAAATAAAATTTATCGATTCCAATTAAAATATTTAACTATTTTAAACCTGTCAATTTTAATATGCAAAATAAAGAATAGGCTGGGTTACTAAACCATTTCTTTGTCCGCCTTATCAATTATAGTGTCTTTTGAGTTAATTTTAAATACAGTATTTATCATCGTGATAGTATGATGTATTTAAATACAACCTTTTAATGTGAATACGTTTGTTATGAAATCACTCACTCTTTCTTTCTTCTTTCGATTGCCTAAACAAAAAATTTTCCTTGCATTTTGCTCTTTACAAAATTTTTGATTAACGACACACATCATCTTTTTTTTTTCAAAATATTTTTTGTCATTGAATTGATGTCACCAATTACCGAACAATTCTCAACAATTTCCGAAATTTTATCAATTTTTAATTGGACCAAAAAAGAAAAAATTGGTTCATCGAAAAAAAACATCAAAGATGATAATGATAAGAAGATCGATAACTATGAAATGACAGCATTAACAAAATCATGTGAAGAGTGTATTGGTTCAGCTTTACCATCACAAATAACAATGAATACTTTGGTAGATTTGATCGATCAGACGATCCAAGATTCATGTACTGAAAATAATTCACGAGCATTCAAAATAAATTATTATTGGATATCCGATTTTTCAACAGTATTAATCGTTCCATGCGATACAACATTGAAGGAATTTAAACAGTATGCTATTCAACAATTTGGTGAAAAACATTTGGTGGCAGATGATTGTGTTGTACTCGCACATACTCAAAATTTCGACCTTCTTCGAGATGTCGTTAGAATTAAAGATGCAACTGAATCAAGAAATGCTATACACTTTGTAGGATTAGTAGTGATGAACAAAATAAAAATTGTATCTTCTGAAATCGCGTGGAAAAATTGTTTGGCAATGAACAGTAGCGTTGTTGAGGTCACAATCTTTTCGAAAGAAATGCATACTTGATTATGTTAATTGTTACTGTATACATAAAGCTCTAATGTTAGGATTTTCTAGAAATTTATACATATGTAGAGCTAATTCACATCTGGGTGAATGTTAGTAGTTTGTACAGTACCTAATTATTTACCAATGAAAGGGTGCTAATTGCATTTAAATAATCAAAGCTTCTTGAACAGATGGCATATTTGAAATATTTTCATTGCAAACTTTTTCTTTGTTTACCGAACATAATATAATCATAATTTCATAAGTAATTGAGCAAATTTGCAAAAAATCATCAATAT